TGGTGAAAATGTGCGATTTCAATGCATTTTCGGCCTTAAAGCGGCCGCCATTTGGCTATCGTTAATGAGATCATGAAACAAATGCACATACATATTTGTGACATGATGTACCTTGTGTGTGTGAAGTTTGAACTCGATCAATCCAGGCATGTCTCAGATACGGATCCAGAACTGAATTCTTTAAAACAAAATGGCCGCCAGTCGGCCATTTTGACTTGATCCGAAAAAAAAATGACGTGCATCAAGGTCCTATTATGTTTAATGTATGTACCAAATTTGAACAAAATCCGTCCATGCATAACTGAGATCCAGGTCCGGAATGGTTAAAATGTGCGATTTCAATGCATTTTCGACCTTAAAGCGGCCGCCATTTGGCTATCGTTAATGAGATCATGAAACAAATGCACATACATATCTGTGACATGATGTACCTTGTGCGTATGAAGTTTGAACTCTATTAATCCAGACATGTCTCGGATACGGATCCAGAACTGAATTCTTTAAAACAAAATGGCCGCCAGTCGGCCATTTCAAATCTGATCCAAAAAAAAAAGACGTGCATCAAGGTCCTATTATGTTTAATGTATGTACCAAATTTGAACAAAATCCGTCCATGCATAACTGAGATCCGGGTCCGGAATGATGAAAAAATGCGATTTTGATGCATTTTCGGCCTTAAAATGGCCGCCATTCGGCTATCGTTAATCGGATCATGAAAAAAATGCATGTGCATATGTCCCATATAATGTGTGATGTATGAGTGAAGTTTGAACTTAATCGGTCCATGCATGTTCGAGATAAAGGTGATCACGGACGCACACAGGGCAAAACACAAGTCCCCGTTTTCGGACTATGTCCGAACGGGGACTAATAATATTTACACTTATATACGCTATCAACTTGGTATGCTGGATCTATCTATTCCCTTTCTCGTAACAACTTGCATCAATTTTAAATTTAAACCAATCAATCTAAATATACATCACATCAAAGCTTAACTGACCAAATAATTGGACTTTGATTTAATTTCCTGTTCTTTTTACGATGGACACACCAGAGCATGTGTTTTTGTGTTTGGTTTTAACAACTGTCAATACATGTTTATGGTGGAAAATCTGCCAAAGTATTATGGTGAGGTGACAGCAGAATAAATAAACCATAGCTAGTGGAGACAAGATGCATTTAGCAAGATGCACATAATAAAGGCTGGTTTACTCACCTGCATATATCCAGTGCTTTTCTCATATCGCCAGCAACGGCAGCCACCTTCCTTGCACAAAACTGAATTGCAGCTGGATCAACAACTGGAGCACCGTCAATTTTTGTCTAAAAATGCAATTCGCATTTAATTTTATTTTCTGATAAATTGAGATTTTATTAATGTTGATACCCAACATTGTAATGTTTTGAAAATCCAATGATAGAATAAGAGCACATACATCATATTAAAACACAGCAACACAGGATGTGACAATCCCACACTAAATGGTAGTAACAAATGTACAAGGTTATCACAAAAACATGTATGCACCTTTGGTTTGAATCATTTTTATGCATACATCAGTTTTCTGTAGATAACCTCACAACAGACTAATACACTTACTTTATTTAACCTGTCTGTTAGAATGGTAACAATCTGATCTTTACTGTAAGGAGAAAAATTCAACAACTGTGGTTTACATTTAGGTCTTGCCTCTAGTCTTGGAAGGATTCTGTCAGTCAAATCTAGAGCGTTGGCAATACCTGCAAACAAACAGTGAACAATCAACTCAATTTTGCATTTTATAATTTTTTTTATTACTATGATTGGAAAAGTTATTATATGATATGAATTATAACAATTATTTTTTGGGTTTGATAAATTCAAACTTTGTTATACTCACCAATCAATACAAGTCTGGACTTGGGCAATGATGGCCATTCAAACATAGTGTAGAGTACTTCCTGGTTTCTACTGTCAAGTTGATCTATTTCATCCAAGATAAGAAGCCTACAACACAACATTCTTAAACTTATAACTATGATTATGAAAACAAAATTAAGACAATAATAGCTATTCTAAATCCTCTTTTCTATGACAATATTATATTTAAGTGTTTTTTTTATTATATTTTTGATACAATATATACCACACTTCCCCGAGCATAAGCCCACCCTCTGTTTTTAGACATTTAACAGGTTGAGGGCATCCCTGAATATAGGCCCAGGGTGTTTTTACCGAGAGTCAAAGACATTTATTACAAATATGCATTTTATTGCATAATAATCTTGATTGGTACGGTAGTTTGTTACTACTTTTACGAGAAGGTAAAATTTTAAAACAAAATAAATTAGGTTCTCTAAATGCATAGAATACTACTTACACAGTCTTGCCAGGAGATGTTAATTTCTTCTCAAGATATTTGGCAGAATCTTTAGAACTACATTTTTGTGATGAATGAGTAAGTTCTGATATGACTTTCCTATATATAGCATTACTGTGTTGTAAAGACATACAATTCACAAAAATCACTTTGGTATTTTCCATTTCACTCTGTAATTAAATTACAAGTAGACATAATAAATTTAAAATATTGCTCAATTTTGTACACAGGTTTGTCTGCAGGAATTTATGATTTATTATTGAAACAAAGAACATGTCATACACTACAAAGGCATATACAAACCGATCACTGGTAGCATAGTGGTTGTCGCATCAGACTCGTGATCGGTAGACCTTAGTTCAAATCCTACATTAGGCTGAAGATCAAAGGGTCTACTCCTACCCTGGGTGAGTGTGCCAGACTCAATGGGAAGGCCAATTCCACTGGCTGAGATTCATTCACTTACGAATGCGACTTTGGGGGAACCTTGGATAAGGTCCGCAGGTGCTTGTGTTCGACCGAGCCTGGTTGACACCAAGATAGCGCATTAAAATTGTCATTTGACAGGGAGATGGCCACACAGCCCTGTCATGTAGTCCCAAACAGGAAATGACTTCTGTGGCAAAATGCACTATGTGTCAGCACTAGCACTTGCAATTTGCACTTAAAAAAAAAGTCAGGAGTGACAACAGTGACATTCAATGTCCGGAACTGTCGCCTGGCACAAAAACATTATTTAAAAAAAAAAAAATTCTACTGTAGAGTGCTTTATTTTCGCTTGGAATTAATTTTCACTGTGGTTCAGTTTAAATAAAATTCAGCAAATATACCTGTATAGTAAATTATGGTTTAAAAAAAATACAGTAATCATGTTGTTTGAACTTTACTCTTTAGTTCTCAATTCCAAGCTTATTTGCTCTATGGGAAATCACACTATTTTTTACAATGAGATAGTTGCATTCACAGGAATTTTTTTTGTTTAGAAACTATGGGAACCAATTAACACTTAGCCACTATTCAATTAGCCTTAAACTGATTCAGACCATCAACACCTCTTTGTTTTACATTTCCTGGGATTCCATTGGACTTTAACACATGTGCAGCTGAAAGCCTTTACTGAGAGCCAAAATGACTAAGGGAAAACAGCAATGTGCTAATGCATCAGTTTCCAATTTGTATAGAATGAAGCAAACCATTGCCCAATTACTAGATAGTATTAGACAATCATCAACTGCCCCCAAAAGCTTTAATTACTAAATTACTTTAATTAATACATACCTTATTATTTGAAATAATTTGCATTAATGATGCAGTTTTTCCAGTACCAGGCGCACCTGAAATGTACAGACTTCCTGGTTTACTTTTACCAACATGTGTACGAAGAAAATTTGTTATTGCCACAGTCTCTTTCTCTCTGCACAGCAGGTTTTCAGGCATTGATGCATGGAGAGCTCTCTTTACTTTATTGTAACATTCACCTGGTGAAGAATATACATTAAAAGTTAATGAAATGAAATACACCATGTATTTCTGGTAACTTAACAAAAACATGGATTGTTGTCCAATTTTCAAAAATACATAATTAGGCTAATTTTTGAACTTGAGAATTGTTCTGCATACTGCAAGAAATGGGAAGTGACCATCCTCCAATGATTTCTAGACATCTCAACCCAACAATTTCTCGACCCAAGCCACTTCGACCTAAATTGGACATCTCGACCCAGACACCCTGGGCAGCTCGACCCATCGCATCGACCTTATCTAAGTGTGGCGACGCGAACCTCTATCTAGTTTAACATTGATAATGTTGCCCTTCGAAAAAATATAAAATTCTCGCGATCCTGTGTATCGTGCTGTATATGAATGCTGTGTTTGAATGAACGATATCTATTGATTCGAAACATTGAACACAGGGAACATGATCAATTGATTTAATATTCAGCCAATCTTGAATAACACACGCGGTGCTTCAAATATAAGTCTGCATGTCTACAAAATAAAAACAAATACTAGTAGTTTGTTAACGCCATTTCACGCCCTTTGTTACGTGTCAATATTAGTGGCAACACATTTCGGTGTCACCTCCTTGACGTCACTTTCAGGGGTCGCGTGCTGTGAAATGAACAGCAAAAGCAGCGAAAAATAATAAATCAGTAAAACAAACACTGGTCTAGGTGCACTGGGAAAAGTACGACGCTATTGGGATTGGGTCGAGGCGACGAGTCGTCTGAAATAGGTGGGTCGAAATGTCCAGGGGTCCTGGGTCGAGTTGTCCAATGAAAAATGGGCAAGATTTTTTTGGGTCGAGATGTCCAGCACCCCCTCCAATGACCCCTTTTCAATCAGACTAAAAAAAGAACTTGACATGGTTTGATATTTAAAGAGATTATGTTATCATAAATTAAATAGAACAAATTTATTTAAATTAACTTGCCTTCCTGTCTCATTAGTTTCAATGGAGTTTGCTTTTGTTGAGATGGCGATTGCAGGTGAGACGGTGTCTGCAGCTGTTTTGTACAAGGTGGTGGTGACTTCACACACTTTGTGTTAATCTGATCACGTACTGGTGAAGAACAGGAAATAGACTTTACAGAAACATCCTGCACATTTTGTAGATTCTCTGATTGTAATTTCTTGACAGCCACATGATGATTAATAGTTTTCACCGGTGAATTGCAGGGAACTTTGACTGGTGATCTGCTACCAATGTTATTCAATTTAACAGTGAATTCCTTTAACTGACATTCACTGACTGGTATATTCTCCTTTTTTATTTTCCTAGGGCTGCATTTTGGAGTTGAAGGACAGGATTGAGATTCTTTACACTCTGAAATAAAATACAAGATATCTTGAAATTACACAAATGTGAAATGTAGGATTTTATGGCTTCCCGCCAAGACCACGTATAGAGTGCATACAGCTGAAGAAAGTTTACAAGAAATTATAGTTACGAAAATTTATATTTAAAGGATTTTATATATTTTCAGAATTCTAAGAGAAATGTGGTTATTAAGAATCGTGGTTACAGTTGTGTTGACGACGACATGCCCAAAACAAATATCCCGTATTACTCCAATTAGACGATATACAAGTAACAGAATACAGTTACTGAATTACCTTTATCTTTCTGTTGATGTCGTTTTCGGTGAATCGGCAAGCCCTCTGTCACTTTGTTGTCCTTTTTCTTTGATATTCTCGCTGGTGACTTTTCAGATTTGGTTTGTGACCGTGTCTTGCGTCGCTGGAACGAGATGGTGGACTGCTCCGACATGTTTTGTTTTGCTTCTAGTTCGAGAGAAAGCCCTTTAAAACACAAATATTGCCACTTGCAACCTTAACAGATACGATCCGCAGATGTTTGGGGTTACACTCACTTGTCTTCTGAGCGAAGGTGAAAGATGGACAAAGATCGACGTCGGAGAAATGTGAAAACGAAGAAGAAAAACCAACGAAGGGTAACAACCAGACCACCGAGACTAAAACTCCGAAAGAATAAAAATCCCGCGAAATATAATGACGCGTTTAGCTGATTGGGTAAAATCCAGTGATTTCATTGGCTGTTGTTGACTGGCGGGAAACGTCATTCACAGGGCTTTTTGACCCTGAATTTGACCTCAAGAAACGGAACTTTAAAAATAAATACACTCGACAATCCACATTCACACAACTAATGTTATTATAACATTACAAAAAATATTAATTGTACGGTATATTTTAAATCGAATTTAAGTACATATCTATCGTATTTTAATGTTGCCCATATGAAATCACGTGGCATGACGTCTCGTTATTCACGAGATTACGTTCGACGTTGAGTAGTCGCCATATTCCAACTGAAATTTGCAGTGCATTTCAAAGAAGTAGACAATTCGAAATATTCACTATATATAGTTATTTCAAACGAATTTAATATGTCGGACAGGTAAGTAATAATGGTATATTAGGCTAGCCTAGCAAAATATTTCAACTATTGTATATCACTTACGAAACAACTTACAAGATCGGGAGTAAATGGCGGACAAAGCTACATACACACGATGTTTTTAATAATGTACTTTCCCGTGTAACTACAAATAATTCGCACGTTGGTATAGGTCGATCGAAATATATATTTTATAGTTAAAACGTATTTAATAAGCATGGGGACGACTCAGTTGGTAATGATAATATATCCACAACATTATATCTAAATAAATTCACTATCGTACCACGAGGATATTACAGGCATTCTACAGACCGGAAAGTGACGAAGCAATGACGCTGTTACAACTGAAAGCTGGTTTCTTCACCAATGTTTTAATCAGTATATAATATTTCATTTTAACGAGATAGTTAATAGAGTTTGGATGTAGGATTAAAAATTGTATTTTGCATATACACATTGTCATTACATAGCAAATGCAAAATCAAATGTAAACTGGATACCAAATGCAATATTAGTTTTATTCAACTTGTGTAGTAATGTTAATTTATTCCTTGCCATCCATGGCTTGGAACACTATATCAATGGTAAAGGGGTGAGTAGTCTTATAGCCTGGGACAAGTAAAATTGCTATACTGACAACTGAATAGTAAATCACTTGCCTTCACAGATTTAATACAATACAGTACTGTATATGGAAATATTATATACATACAAAATTGAAATGCCCTGCTCTTGAGATATCCAAGGGGTTCCAGACAGGCAGATTTATGTGGAATATTTGAAAATTGCCTGTCCCTGTGAACAGGTGAATAAGCCTAAGGCTATCAAGTTTTTAATAGCTTGCTAAATGAAATAGTTCAATGTTGCTAATCTCCAAAAAATGTTTTCAGAGCTTTTAGATGATAATGAACCAACATGAAAATTGTATTTTTAAGTACCATGTATATTTAAATTATCTTGATAGGGACTGGTACATCATTAATTGAAACAGGTACATTGTCCAATAGACAGAATCAATTTTTTAATTTCATCCTTGTAGTGTAGCCTCTTCATATATTGTAATTTACCCTCATACCATCAGGAACATATAGACTGTACAGTGATGAAGGAAATGGAATGTATGTGATGCCATCCAGTAAATGAAGAAACAATTGAACATTGAATGTTTTGATATTTTTTTCATTTACATAAAAGACATTATTGTTTTTGTGTATTCTATGCTGTTATTTCAGGGAATGTAGTGGTGAGAGTAGTTCAGATAGTGATGACAACCAAAGCCGTTCATCTAGTGATAGTGAAGAACTGAAAGATAGCCCTCGATACAGTAGAACAGAGTCGCAACGTGAAGCTATCAAGGAGTCACAGAAAAAGAGAAAAATTAGCACTGATGAAGAAAATACTGATCCTAAAGCAAAATCCCAAAAAACTGATTTAGAGATATCACCTAAAAGTAAGGAAGTATCACCTAAAAGTGAAAGTAAAAGAAAAAACGCAGAGTCATCTTCACCCAGAAAAAGAAAAGAACATTCTCCTCGGGGAAGGGAAAGAGATGAAAGTTATGAAAAGAGTGAAGGCGAATATACAGACAGTGATGAGAGTGAAGATACTAGAGGGCCTGGTGTAAAAAGTGTAGTGCAAAGTGTTGTACAGAGAAGATCTCCATCGCCAAGGTAGTAGCAGTTTTGATAAATCACGTTTCTGTCAAAATCCATGCTGACAATATAGCACAAATTTAAATATTTCCTGTTCACTGGCTGAATGTAATGCTCAAATGATGTATTTAAATTACTTCCATTGGTATTCTGTCCAAGTTTACTGTCATCTTGATTGGTATCATGAAGCCTGTCACTGGATTGTATTATTCAGTACATGTTGTTAGTTTATTTTTGAGTAAGTCTTGATTCATTCATCCATCCATCATTCAATTGCTTTCACATACATTATGTATTCTATGATTCACCCCTTAACACTCTTAACAGCATTGCTTTACTAGCGACTTTTTGGAAACCACTTGCCTGGTACCATATGCTGGGTAACCTCAGATTTGTTCATTTTGTGTCCTTATCATTTAATTCTCAATATTTATTAAGAAAGATTTTTGTAAAAAAATTGTATATTTGACTATCGTAAAATTCCTTTTTGAGGCCGCGGCTTTAATTAAAATTAATTTTTTCAATGGACGAATTCAGATGCGTGAAGTCTTGGTGCGGCTTTAATTAGAGCATTCACTTCGGTTACAGTGGGAATTTTTTTCAGAAAACAAAGGCCAGAAGGGATAATGAGATGCACGACATTCGATTGCAACTTTGTTGCGATACTAAGGCACTTTGGAATTTTTACACACAGACAAACTTGTACACAAACGAAATTTCACACTGTATAACATACTGCACAATAAATAATATCTACAAATAGATTTGTATGCATTTTTAAATTACGGTACTGTATACTACAATCTCTTGAATAGACTAATTCGTTAGCACCGGTCACTCTTTTAGTAACCGTGCAGACAGCCGTCTGACACAGTCGATTGCGGCATGTTCGACTTCTGGCAGAGTGACTGTACATTCCATGTTTAATCTAGACATCGAGGAAATTAAAATAAAAAAAGTCAATCAAAAAAAAAAATTGATAACGAAAAAATACTCAGTATATTATTTAATGTAATATATATTTATTTTCTTATTTTTGATAACGAAAAGTATATTCTAAAAGAAGTCAAAACAAAAACGAATGCATTCTTAGTTGCAAATGATCACGGTAACGGTCATGCTGCATTTCACACAAGTGAATAACTTACTTGTTTTCGAAGTGTTACAATTGCTGATTATTAATTAGTAGTGATTATAATAATGTACAAAAAATAAATTCGTTGAATTGTTGTGAAAATTCAACTGAGTTTCACCGCATGCGAATGATTTTGGTCACATATGAATGCTCGATCTGATGCGATATCCGCCATGTTAGTTCAAACATCTTTCGTGACTTGAAACTGTTATGTTGACCTGATAGGTCAAGTCGCTAATTAACCAATCGAAACGCTGGATGGTGGCAACGTGATTAAATTACCATAGCTCTTTTAAATATGTTAATGTAGTTCAGCGACCTCATGGTAAACGAAACACGGCTTTGATTTCGATGGGAAAACGGCATGATTTTTTTTTAAATCAAGAAATTAGTTGTTCTCGAAAGATAAGCTGAGCATTGAAGAAGAATTTAACACTTTTGAAGATAATAACAGCTCATTGTCGAAACGCAGTTTACCCAGTCACGTTACCCACAATAAACCTGTACTCTGGAATAAGTGTCAATGACTACGGAAAACCTTAATTAGAATCTAATTTAAGCGTCAGGAATCATTGAAATGTTCGAAAAATTATGCCTTAATTTAAAATTAAATGGTACATCTATTTCTGAAATATGTGGTGGCTGTTTGGTTTGTGAAAGTTTGGGGTGCGGCTTATATTGCAGACTTTTCCCTGGGATCAAAACTTGGCAATTTCAACATGAAACAATGTCTCAAGTTAGGGGTGCGGCTTCTATTAAAGCTGCGGCCTCAAAAAGGAATTTTACGGTACTTGAAAAATACAAAAGTTCTCTATTTGTAGCAAAAATTATATTTTTGACTTATTTAATATATCTAAGACCAATGTTATACTTTTATTTATCAATTCACTGAAGGCAAAATAACCATAATAATGTAGTTAATTCTTTTTCGAAACAGTGACTTGATGACCAGTTTGGCTAAATGATTTGTGTTACCGTACTCTACCGCGTTAGCGCCCAGGGGCCTCAACTCAGAAAATAACGATTTGTTAGGGGTGGACGCTTACCCGAGCACCCCCCTCAAAAAACAGTGCAAATGAAATTTGATTCATCAAATGACAGATTACGTCTTTGAAGGAAATCAAATTACGAAGTTAGTTGAGTCGTCATTGATTTTCACAATGAAGAAACAGAAATGAGCACAAAAAATATGCACATTTTATTACAATATTAATTACGTACCGCCAGAATTTACGAAATTAAAAACATTTGAGTTAGTTGGAACACAGTCGAAGTCAAAATTGTCATATTATCTCCACTGACGAAGGTGTTGGATCGTACACAAACTCTCGATGAAAATCACTTTCCGCCATGATGCATTTGCAGATTTCACCTGCAGCGGCGTCCTTTGACCTAATGGGTCAACTTGGTTGTTAACCAATCACAATGCTGTGTTGTACTGACGCAATTCTTCGGAAATTCCCGAAGACTTTCGCAATGCGGAAGTGAATTATCGATGTCGAAGTACGATCTGTTGAAATTGATTTCAGCGAATAAACAACATAGTTTTTCCAAAAAACTAGTAACTAGCCATTTTTGAGAGGTAAACTGTAAACAGCGTAGTTTATGCACGGCTACCGTTTTATACGCATTATGCGGCCGATATCCACGCTGTATCATATAAAAAACGATTACCAAGATTCGTAATGAAATATTTACCGCATTTTACTTGTATCAACAGGTCATTGTCGAAGCGTAGTTTATGCACGGTTACCGTGTTATACGCATTATGCAGTCGATATCCACGCTGTATCATATAAAAAACGATTACCAAGATTCGTTACGCAAGACCAAGTTTTAAATTACTAGTAGTTGCACCCCAAATATAAAAATTGCGCAAAAGTGGGGGGGTCGAGTACGGTAAATAAATTGTCCCAGATGTTTAAACCATTTTTAAGTTTTACTCAATTCAGAATTAATGATGATGTTTGTCATTTGTAGGAGATATGATGAGAGGCGTTCCAGGTCATCTCGCTATCATGAGAGAGACAGGACTAGAGGGAGATCTCGAGACAGGTACAGAGACAACTATGATCGGTAAGTGAATTTATTGTGCATTTCATGTGTTCTTGCTTACAGTTGATAGTTATGGTTTTCAATTTTCCATGATTTAGAAATTAGGGCCAAATTGTTGAATAGTCATTCAGAAATATTGTGACTATGTTAGCTGATCACTTGTTTTTTCACCAAAATCAGTGACAAAAGATATAACTATCTAAGATTTAATTTGTCTTCACCAAAATCAGTGTCCCTCCAGGCAATAAAAGCTCACCTCCCATTCTGATTACAAAAGATGATTTTCTAAATCGATACTCGGTTGTATTGCAATATCACCTTGTTGATCTTTGCATTTTCTTTGCACTCATTTTCATGCTGGCTCAATTTCTATGATTTTCATTCTGATCACCTGTGTCTAATTCTTCTATCTACATTAGCTGAGTTAAGGATGAGACCCAGGTTCGTGGGCGCTTATATTCAAACCTGTAATTCACAGTGAAGATGGCATTTGAACACCTACATGTTATATATTTTTAGTTAGCTCTGTGTGAATTGTGTGAAAATATAATATATTTTTTTTTAACTAGTGAAGTGTATGTGTGTTTCTCTCTAAAATAGGCTTTTTTGAGTTTTTTCACTGAAAACAGAAGTACAAACAGGGATCTCGCCAACCCAACGCGAGTGCCGGTCGGTCATAAATATTAATGAGCTATATGAATATTAATGAGTTCGGTCACAGTGCCAATATTTTTGGAATTAAGACATTGTTTCACAATTTAGAACAGTTTGAATTTGAAAATGAAATATATTCGAAATACGAATGCTGCAGAGTAAAAACAGAAACAAACAAATTATTGTTGCAATATTAATGTCTCTTGTAAAAAGTTAAATAAAACTCATTTAAAACGTTTCAGCCAGTAATATGTTCACGATCTTGTATTTCAAATACATTCTCCTTCACAAAATCAACCCGGTAATTATTGTATCTTTGCGGTTAGTGTGTGTGTGTGTGTAAACAGTACAGTTCTCGCGGAAGCTTTGGCTTCACTTCAGCTTCACCTTCGCTTCAGCATCGCATCATTATGGCATTGTTATGGCTTCAGCATCGCATCAATGTCGTGACATAAAAAAGTTGGGCGGTTAACGCTTCGCTTCATTGTGGCCTCATTATGGCCGCTATGGCGACAATGTGGCATCAGCATCGCTTCATCAAACAAAGAAGTACAGAACTCATTTCGATCAACCTCTCGCCCGCTTACCCTTTTCAATCGCTCGCTTTT